TCCGGAGGCATGACGGAGCCACTTATACCCCTTTCACACCAACGCAACTCCGGTTCAAGCTCCGTGCTAGAGCTTTTCAGGTTCGGAACCGGTACTTCGGTTTAGCTCCGGCTCTTTTCACACCGCTCAGAGACCGACTGGTGCTGCCGCTGCTGCGTCATGACGTCACAGTTTACGTCGCTGATTTTCTCCCCAACGGAGCTCACCTCACAACAACAACGGGCCGGGGACTGCGTTGCTTTTAATCATACGAAGCCAGATTAAATTAAATAACGACTTCTCCAACCTTATACTTTTCTCCAGAGTGCCGTGGTTCATTGTTTATTAATCTGTTTCAGCGGCATTTACCGACCGCTGCAGTGCTGGCCAACACACTCTCACTCCCAACGCGTCCAGGAGCGACGCTTGGTCAGAATTCCGCGGCGTCCAGTTGTGACGCGCCGAGTTTCCATCAGCGTCATAAACGGATGCAAAGAGCTTTCAACTGATTGCAATGTATTCCCATCTGCGTCGGTATTTGACGCTTAGGGAAGCACGGCATTCGTTTGTGTCGGCAGCTGTTAAAGGCAATGTGAGCGTCCATTCCCATTGGATAACGGAGGAATTGTACACCCGGAAGTAAGTATTCTCCTTACTGTCGATTGATTTGACAGTGATATCTCCATTACTCATCCACTCAAAAACACCAGATTACCTTTGTTAATTAAACGACATTGATAGGTTTAAATTGTGTACAATGCTTTTGTGTTTTTCCCCTACAATTCTGAGACAACTTGTTTTCTCTGAAATGTGGAGCGCCAAAGAGACTACACTACCCACAATCCCCAGCTATTGTTGTGATTGTCTGTCCGCTTTGCGACAAAACCTTGTGATAAGTCAACAAGCTCTGTGATTGGATGAAACATAAATAGGTGATATCTGCACTACTCATTAACTAAAAACCACCAGATTATCCTTGTTAATGAAACGACATTGATAGGTTTTAGTGTAAAATGCTTTTGTCACGTTTTCCCCTTCAATTCTGAGAAACAAGTAGTTTTGAGTTTTGGATGGCCGAAGACACTACACTACCCACAATCCTCAGCTATCTTCGCGAGGCCAGGTCTCGAGGTCACGTAGTTCACGTGATACATTGCTCGGAACCTTGAGACACCAAGGTTCAAGGTTCAAGGTTCTTTATTGTCAATCTGACATAGCTACAGAGTAATTATGCAGTTGAAAATCTTATGTCACAGGCTTCTCCAACAATGCAACATAATACATAACATAATAACAATAAGAGCATGAGCAATACAAAATACTAATAGTTATAAAATGAAATAAAGTATGATGTGGAATAGTGCAGTACGAGTCTATATACAAGTTATGGAATGATATATTATATATAGGTATTAGATACATACTACTGAGTAGCAGTTGAATGTTTGATGTTGTTTCAAACAGTTCAATTTTTTAACAGTCTCACTGCCGCGGGGGAAGAAAACTGTCTCCGAATCTTCTTGTCCTTGCCAGGATGCTGCGGGTAACGTCTGCCAGACGGCAACAGAAAGAACAGTTTGTGGCTGGGGTGATGGGGGTCTTTGATAATCCTGAGGGATTTCTTTCCTGAGCCGCTGGGAGTAAAGGTCCTCCATGGATGGCAGCTCCGTCCTGGTGTGATGTGCCTGGCAGTCTTCACCACCCTCTGTAAGCCTTACGATCGAGGTCGGTGCAGCTGCCGTACCAGGCCGTCATGCTGCCAGTGAGGATACTCTCTATCGTGCACCTGTTAGAAGTTGCAGAGTATCCTGGAATCCATTTTGAACCTCCTCAACCTGCGGAGGAAGAAGAGCCGCTGTCGAGCTTTCTTGGTGATGGTGGTGGTGTGAAGAGACCATGTCAGGTCCTCAGTGATGTGGACCCCAAGGAACCTGAAGCTTTTGACTCTCTCCACCGTAGTCCCATTGATGGCGATGGGGGCGTGTCCCTCTCCCTGCTGCTTCCTGTAGTCCACAATCAGCTCCTTTGTTTTGCTGATGTTGAGATGGAGGTTGTTATCCTGGCACCAAGATGTCAGGTTTTCGACCTCCTCTCTGTACGCCGTCTCGTCATCGTCTGTGATCTGGCCGATGACGGTCGTGTCATCAGCAAACTTCACGATGGTGTTGGAGCTGTGTGTGGCCACGCAGTCGTGGGTGAACAGGGAGTAGAGGAGAGGGCTGAGCACGCAGCCTTGAGGGGCACCGGTGTTTAGAATCAGGGTGGAGGATGTGATATTTCCCACCCGCACTGCCTGGGGTCTGCCCGTCAGGAAGTTCAGGATCCAGTCACAGAGGGCGCTGTTGAGCCCGAGGTCTCTGAGCTTGATGGCCAGCTTGGAGGGCACAATGGTGTTGAATGCTGAACTGTAGTCAATGAACAGCATTCTCACATATGTGTTCCTGTTCTTCGGGTCCAGGTGTGAGAGGGCAGTGTGGAGGGTGAGGGCTATGGCGTCGTCTGTGGACCTGTTTGCTCTGTAGGCAAACTGCAGGGGGTCCAGAGATTCAGGGAGGGAGGAGGTGATGAATAATTTGACTAACCGCTCAAAGCACTTCATTATGATGGAGGTGAGTGCTACTGGGCGGTAGTCGTGGGGCAGGTGATGATTGTCTTTTTAGGGACAGGAATGATGGTGGAGTGTTTAAAACATGTGGGGACTACAGACTGCAGCAGGGACCTGTTGAAGATGTCTGTGAACACCTCTGCCAGCTGAACTGCACACACCCTGAGAACACGGCCAGGGATGCCATCAGGTCCAGGAGCCTTGTGTGGGTAACCCTTTTAAAGGATTTACACACATCTGCCCTATTTAAAACAAAAGGGCAGTGTAGCTCCTGGTCCCACTGTACTTCCACAGCCTGGCTGCTCTCAAAGCGTGCAAAAAAACTGTTTAGCTCATCTGGGAGAGATGCGCACGCAGACACTCCCGCAGCACCCCCCGCTGCTCCTTTGTAGTCAGTCATTGTCCTTAGTCCCGCCCACATATTCCTAGTGTTACAGCCTTTGAAGTCAGATTCCACCTTGTCTTTGTACTTTCTCTTTGCATTTTTAATTGCTCTCCGGAGATCATACCTAGACTTCCTGTACTCCTCCAAATCTCCCGCTGTGTGCGCGAGAGTGCGCGCTTTCAGTTTGCCGCGCACCTCACCGTTTACCCAGGGCTTTTGATTTGGGAATGTCCGTACAGAAACCTTCGGTACCACGTCATCGATGCATTTCCCAATGTAGCAGATGACAGTGTCCGTGTGTGTATTGATGTTATTGTCCTCAAACACACTCCAATCCGTGGAAGCAAAGCAATCCTGCAGTGCCTCATCTGACTCCACGCTCCATCGTTGTACTGTCCTTGTTACCCGGTCTGTCCCTTTTAAGTTTCTGCTTGTACGCAGGCAACAACAGTAGTGAGATATGGTCTGATTTGCCGAATGGAGGGCGAGGGAGAGCCTTATATCCATTCCGGAAAGGGGAATAAACATGGTCCAGTATGTTTCCCCCGCGCGTCGGGAAGTTGATGTGTTGGTAATATTTTGGCCAAAACCTTCTTCATGTTGGCGGTGTTGAAATCTCCGGCCACAACGAACGCCGCATCTGGCCGTGAAGTCTCGGTTTTGTCAATAATCCCAAACAGCTGATCGAGTGCCGTGTTGTTGTCGGCGAGTGGCTGCGGCGGGATATACACTGCTGTTATCACAACAGATGTGAATTCCCTCGGCAGATGGAAGGCCCGACATGAGATCATGAGGTGCTCTAGCTGTGCGGAACAGTTCGATGAAATAATCTTCACATCTGAGCACCAGTTGTTGTTAGTCATTACACACACACCGCCTCCCTTACTTTTCCCCGAGTTAGCAGTCCGGTCCTGACGAAAAATAGAGAATCCATCAGGCACAATAGCGGAGTCCGGGATATCGGGGTTGAGCCAAGTCTCAGTGAGAATTAACACGTTACAGTTCTTAATGTCCCGTTGAAAAGCAATCCGGCTTCTGAGTTCATCTAGCTTATTTTCAATGGATTGAACATTAGCCAGAAGAATACTCGGAAGAGGGGGCCGATTCTCACGTTTCCTCAATCTGACCAGCAACCCGGCCCGGCATCCCCGCTTTGTCCTCTTCTTGCGTCTCTCAGGTAGAACAGCAACAGGTAGCCATGGTGAATGTCCATTGTTTGTCGGAGGGTTATTATTGTCCACGAAGTTTCGCAATTGGAGAAGTTCCTCTCTGCTATATTGTATGGCAGAGTAGGTGCGGTCGGCTAGCATGTTGCGAACCATGTTAAAAGTAAAACGGCAAAAGTAAAAGAAATATGTACAAAATACGAAAATGGGCAAAGTTGGAGAGGAGCACAAAGACGATGCGGCCATCTTCATCGGCGCATCTACTACCACCAGCAAGGTAAGCTGTAATAAACTCGACTGCTCACTTAATTTTCGACAATATTCAAATATAACTCAAATAAAATATTTGGGTTATGTATTCAAGTCCCACCCAGGCAGCAGGATTCGTAAGACAGTACGAGAAACTTAAAGAAAATGTAGTCTGTAACAGTTATTTTCTTTTTTGTAATAACGGATCATTTAGAAGCTAGCATTAGCCACCGTGTGGCTAGCTAGCTGTGTTAGTACAATGTCGTAGTCATCAAAGGAGCTAGCACTGTTAGTTGTATCGCTCATCAAAACAAAGAGGACTCTCTGGAGCGAAAGTATTTGTAATTATTATTATTTATTTATTATGTATTACTTAGCGGGAGTGTTTTACATGTTCGGTGTAATGACGTAAAATGTTTAGGACGCGTCACTGCGGTTGCTGGTCATTTGTTTTTTTTACCATAAGCTGTCATCAAGAAGGAATGCCATCATTTAATGTCATGATGTTTATATGTGAACAAATTACACAGTACATTAGAAGTCAGTACACATTAGCCTAATTATTAACAGAATGTTGTTCAATTTTGTTCAAAATGGAGTCACTTAGCATTGGCGTTTAAATGTTACATTCTATTATACAAAAACCCCACTTGTCATTTGTGTTTGAATATATTGAATATTCACATATGAATATATTAATTTGATTCAAACCATTGGAAGTTTGCGCACTATCTCAAGTATTCACAGCATATTAGACTGTATCTTCTATCTCTCCAATTGCATTTAATATAGAGCATGAACTTAATAACATATTTGTGTATTTGAGAACAAATTGATCAACTGACAGCAAACATTTTTGAGATAATCCCTCTATGTTTAACTTTCATTTGCAGAATGACAAAGCCCAAAAAACAACTGTGCCCCTCCTGCCAGGCCCCAAATTCCCTTGGGCGTAAAACATGTGTGGTGTGTGTCTGCCCCCTTCAAATAAATAAAACATTTTAAAAAAAAGAAGCGGAATTAAAGGACTCTAGCTGGGGGGCTTCTGTGAAGAGCAACAGGAACGCCAGCAGGACCGTTAAGTCGGCCGAGCTATCTGTGAGTTTAAATGACTTATTATTTAAGATGTTTGGCCTCTCAGACGATTACATATCTTATTTGTCAAACAGCCTTGCCCTCAGTGAATGTGAAACCATTTTTCTGGCTTTAAAAAGATTTGTATCATTGATCAATGTGCCTGTATGCAATCTTTTTCGCTCCAATTCTTGCAGGTTCTTAAACTACACACCCTTGGCTCCAGCCCGGTCCTTTTCCTTTCCAATAAGGGCCGCAGTGGGGAGATCCGTGGGGATCTGGTCCACCATTTTGGAAATGCTGATGGGGTCGTTAGGGAGATCCTACTCAAAATGAGGAAACTCTATGAGTACCTCCTGAAAAGTAAGATCATCCTTGTACTTTATTATCTCATTGTGTAGTCGTCCATGGGCTTTGTGTCTATCTATATCATCTATCCCGTTATATCATTAAAATGTCATCCCCCCCCTGAGCCTTTTTTATATAATACAACCTATGCTGTATTATAGAACAAAGGCTGTCAACATGGGCTTGTCAGGGCCAGCATGTTATCACTGTGAACACTAAGATACTAATATGAGGGTACCACACTGATGGTATTGCAGTTACCTACTTTTTAGTTTTTATTTATAATTAATTATTTGTATTAGGGCTGTGTGGCAAAAATCATAATCACGATTATTTTGGTCAATAATTGATATCACGATTATTAAATACGATTATTCATTGACTTTGAAAAAATCAATTTATTGAACTTTAAAACAAATACAAATAATAATTTGAACAGTATCTTTTTAACTGTTGATTACCCTGAACGTATAATTCAACTGAAAAACCAATACAAAAATAAATGATACATTTAAATAAATAATATCAAAATAATAAATACCAATAAAAAAGATCAACAAATATTTTGGAGCGCACTTCAACAAGCTACTAAACATATATAAATATGATAAATACAAATACATTGGATCAAATATGTTGCAGTGCACGGTCACAAATAATCGTTTTTTTCGATTATGTTGTTTTCGTAATTGTGGCAGGCCAAAATCGTAATTGCGATTAAAATACGATTAATTGCACAGCCCTAACTTGTATGCATATTTTTTTATTTTGTATTGTGTTTTAAGCCTGTACAGCACTTTGGACAACATTGAAATGTGCTATACACAAATATTTAAAGGGTTGAATTGAATGCAAATGTCGACATTACTCACCTGTAGTTAGCAAGCATGCACGTTATGCATGTGTCTGTAATACAAACACATCTCTGCAGGCATCATAAAGATATGAGGCTGCTCTGTTTTCCCAGTTTGTAACTCTTGCCTCCTCTCTTCATGTCTTAATCCCTCTCACATGAGATGGGCGAAGAGGAGGAGACACCTCGAGAGACGAGTTGAGGCAAAAGACATTCAATGAAATTAGACATCATGACACTCCTACCTCGCACCCTAATGTCCAGGACACACATGGTGCCGTACGCTGCACGTGTGCTTATCATTACGGCTTATGCTTTTTATCTGGGCATCCGTAGAAACATGTCAGAGCACCCACAGTTTCGAAATGACACAGAAGAAAAGTCATGCCTATTTTCTTCTGGGAGACGCACGTGGTTCTTTGCAAAAACATACCCGGCAACAACCTGTCAAAAGTCTTATCACCATGTTTCATTACAGATTTAATGTATTTATCTGCAAGTTTTAAATGATTTCTAGTTTAATGAGAGAAGCTGCTCCAGACTGCAACTACATTTTCATTATGATCATGGTCTTAACTAAATACGATAAGTTGTTGTGTTAAACACTGATATGAGAAACATAGCAATATGTCTACAGTCAGCTGTGGTAGCTTAAAAACATTATTTTCACACTACCTGCATTTCATTCACTTAAGAACTACCTGGTTGATTTATAATAAGAGGGAAATTCAATGCATTTAATTAATTTCTTACAAGTAAGGCCAAAAATAACTCTTCCTTAAAATGTGTTCTGTTAATTTTCCCTTGTATTATTTTCAACATTTGCAGTGTGTGCTGCACAACAAGCTGCATCTACATCTGCTGGTCCACCAGCCCCCCCTGGACCAGAGCAAGAGCCAGAGCGAGAGACGGAGCGAGGGACAGAGACGGAGCCAGAGCCAGAGATGGAGCGAGGGACAGAGACGGAGCGAGGGACAGAGACGGAGCCAGAGCCAGAGCCAGAGCCAGAGCCAGAGCCAGAGCCAGAGCCAGAGCCAGAGCCAGAGCCAGAGCCAGAGCCAGAGCCAGAGCTTCCGGAGACATTTACTCTCCATCTTTTTTCTCTTCCTCCACCTCCTCCATGCTCCCAGCCTTCTTTCCCCCCCTTGTCTTCTCCTCCACCGCCTCCATGCTCCCAGCCTTCTCTCCCCCCCTTGTCTTCTCCTCCACCTCCTCCATGCTCCCAGCCTTCTCTCCCCCCCTTGTCTTCTCCTCCACCTCCTCCATGCTCCCAGCCTTCTCTCCCCCCCTTGTCTTCTCCTCCACCTCCTCCATGCTCCCAGCCTTCTCTCTCCTCCTTGTCTTCTCCTCCACCGCCTCCACCGTCAAAGAAAAGTCGAAAAGGTTCGATTTGCACTATACTATACTATATACTATACAATACATTTCTTTAAATGATTGTTTGGAAGACTTATTACCTAATTATTAAAATGGTGTTATTTATTTTTAGAATGCAGGAAACACAGGACCCAGAAGGTGTTCCTCTATGAGAGCATTGTGGAAAAAAGAGTTTTTAATGTAAGTGTGTTATAATTTCTTCCTTTTTGTTTTTCTTGTTAAATAACATAAAAACGTACAGAACATTATTGGTACCGTCTACAGACCATCAGTGAGATATCTGCACAGAGCCCAAACGATACTAACATATAACGCCTCTGAATCCAGAGATACACAAGTATCCACTATCGTACAAGTATGGAGCAGTGAGGTTCCTCAATCCATCCTCGACACTGCACCTTTTGTTGTCATTGTAAGCATTACAGGACTACGTTTTGCATCACCTTATAACCTTGTGTTGTAGGAAACTCCCAGTCTTAAAGAAGCTGCTCCATACTGGTACGATAGTGGATTCTTCTGTATCTCTGGTTTCAGATGCTGTTGTCTGTTAGTATTGTTTATGTGTAGAAATCTAACCTTATTGATGGTCTATAAATGGTACAAATAATGTTCTGTAAAGTTGTATCACCTAACTTTGTAAAGTATCTCTCATTAATATTTCTGTCCATTTCATGTCATGCCTTTCAGCAAAGACAAGAAGTGAAAATTCGCTGGACACCATGCTCCGAGTGGTAAGTTTTTCCTTAATGACCATACATGTATGTGTTGTACTGGAAGCAAAGGGTTTATACACTGATACAGTAGGCTCATCTCAATTGAATACTTTTGTATTGTATGTTGTTATGTAATTTGTCCTACAGAAGAGAGACACAAATCACTAACATATGTATTAGTTATGCTACCCGTATTTGTATATATCCTAAATGTTTGACGTGCTGTGGGTCTACCACACATGCATCACAAACCACAAGTAAGAACTGTACGTTATTATTTTATAATCAAAAAATTATTATAGAATTTGTAAGTATATTTCACACACTTTAATGTTTTTATAGAGTTCGATCTCCTGATTCGTTTAAGAGATTTAATATATTTTACTCTTAATGAAGCACTTTAAACATTTAATGACTCTGATCCTCCTTTAACGGTAAGATCAGCTGCAGTGAGCAGAGGCTGTGCAGCTGGGGGCGGAGGTCTGATGCGCGAGTAGTGTGCTCTCGTGTATCCTACCTGTCGTCTCCTCTGGAAGCCTCCTCCCTCACCCCTCCTCGACTCCTCCGTTTGCGTTGAAGCGATTGTGACGTCCTTCAACATGGCGTGTCTTGATTGATTTCCGGGTCAAGTCCCGGAGGAGGGGGAGAGAGGAGTCGAAGAGGGACATTGAGCTGAAGCTAATGTTTCAAATCCTATTTTAAATTGACTTACTTGCCTGATTAAGCATCAGAAATATATATAGCATGACATATTAATAATTATTCAACTGTTCTTTATGTGTGTTTTGCAGTGGCAAGGACTGGGAGGACACATGGGAGCCTGCCCAAAACTATAGCAGCTCAACATAATAACACACACACACAGACACAGACACACACATACACATACACACAGACACAGACACACAGACACAAACACACACACACATACACACACACACACACAGACAGACAGACACACAGACAGACACACACACATACACATACACACACACACAATACGTTTTTTCAATACATTGTTTCAATAAATTGTTGTTTCTGTTGTGTATTTTTTGTACAATTATTTCTCAATAGGGTAAAGCCATTTAAAAGGTTTTAGTTTTTGGTATGTTAATGCAAATGTGACAATCATTATTTTCGGGCTGCCTCAGTCTTAAAACACAAGATAGATATCAATTTTTGTTATGGTCTTCTGTATATGTCATGAATAATACTGGTACAATTTGAATTTGCCCCAAAACGTGGAAATGCAGACCAGATCTTCTAAATGCCAGGGACCGGAACATCAGGAGCATCTCTAAAAGACGATATGTGACAGTCCTGCAGCAACGGACCATATGAGAAACATTATGTTAAAACCTAGAAACTTATTCTAAACCTACTATCAAAGTATTCACCTGAAATGTAGCACAATTTGGCTCCTGTTAAAAGCACTATTAGTTTATAACAGTTTTACTCCCCAGTTGAACTGTATTTGACAATCATTAAATTCACAAACATAATTTGGGAAATAAATCAAAGACAATAGTGTAAATAAGAAAGGTTTAGTTTTTGAAACTTGTAATGGAGACGTTGATACATTAACTGTCAGCAGTATTTATTGTTACTTTGTAATTCTACTCCACCACAATTCAGAGGGTAACCTTGACCTATTTGGCACATCCCTTTCAAGATGTTCTAAGGTTTATTGACATATCATATACACAACTACGGTGTAGTTATGCAATGAATGACAAACCTTGCAGGTTCGTCAACAGTGCATTACAAGAGATCTATCAATATGTTTATACCTCCACCATTAAACAGTCATATTCTGTTTCTTATACTATCTACATACATCTTATAAGAGTATAATTAATATGTAATGTCAGTTAAAATAAGTGCTTAAACGTAGTTAACATTGCAGGAAAGTTGATTGTCAAGTCCCAAAACAAATTATGCAGTTGCCAACTCTCACGCATCTGGCGTGTGACACACGCTTTCACTCTCAATCTCACAGTCTCACGCTGCCCAACCTATTCTCACGCCACAAACAAGATGAACCGGCGATCCTTTTTGGTTGGTTATTTACAATGTTGAGTTGACAGCTGCTCAAGCTGTCAATCCGCTCCCTCCCCGCCCCCACCACTCTTAACAACGTTAACAGACAGCAGAGCAGTGGGAGCCGGTTGGTCAACTCCCGACCCGTATTGCGCATGCGCAGATCTAAGATCCAGTAGAAATGATCAAAAGTAAAAGTCTGCTGCTTATTGTTCTACTAGGCCAAAATAGAGTCAAAGAGTATATGAGAGTGAGAGTGTGTTAATTAATATATTTGGCAGTTTGGAGTAAGTCTGTAGATTTGTTTGTGTGTGTGTTTCATGTATAGGCCTCTCACGATAATTTATTTTGTTGGATACATTTTCCCGGAAATTATTGCGATAAACGATAATATTGTCGGCACCGTTGTATGACCATTTTAGACCACTGACACAAGGGTGTAACTTTGGTTTGAGAAGTGGGGGGGACACAAAACAGGGGATCCTCCGCAATGAAATATTAGAATATGCTCACAACCAATAACAAATCATTGATAAACTCCTCTCTCCTATCTTTATCTTACCTAGTCTGCATTTTTTCTTTTTATTTATGCATATTTGACTAATCACTCCCCTTTCAAACTGTGTTTTTTATTTTTGTACTGACCTATAGTACACATTGGAAGGATTTCTTAACTTATTTTATATACAACTATATATTACATAGATGGAAATATTTGTTTACATAGATGACCAAACCGTTTGAGACCCACTGAGATAACTAGACTAAAGTTTACAACCTAATCACTCAGAGAGTCCTTTACCTCCCTGAGCTGACGTTATCTCTCTCAGTCCGACAGGAGAGGACTCTCCCTCTCCTTATTGTTGAAACAGCTTCTAATCTCCGTTAGCTCCGAGCTAGCACCAGATGCTAACAACAACCCACGTAACTCTCTCAGTCTCTCTCTCTCTCTGTCTCTCTCTCTCTCTGTCTCTCTCTCTCTCTGTCTCTCTCTATTTCTCTCTCTCTCTCTCTCAGTCTCTCAAAGTCCGACAGGAAAGAGCTCTCCCTCTCCTTATTGTTGAAACAGCTACTAATCTCCATTAGCTCCGAGCTAGCACCAAATGCTAACAACAACCCCGGTAACTCTCTATGTCTCTCTCTTTCTATCTCTCTCTCACAAGATGCGCTCGTGCCACACACACACACAGACGCTCCTCCGTGACGATGACCGCTTGCGTAAAAAAAAAAAAAAAAAATTAAAAAGTGGGGGGGACACAAATGGGATTTTGAAAAGTGGGGGGGACATGTCCCCCCTGTCCCCAGTGGAAATTACGCCCATGCACTGACATAATGATAATATATAATAATAATTCAAGTACATCCTTTCAAACTGCTTGTCACATCCTCATGTAAATGGCAATTTATCAAGTTCATTTTTATTTATCGTACGATAAGTCAATTAATTGCTTATCGCGACAGGCACAATAAAACAGTGGAAACAAACATGTGTTTGACTTTCATTAGTGAATGAAACTTTGTGCCCTTTATAGTCTGTGTCCAATATTGTGTATTTGCATATATTGTATATATATCCAATATATATGCTAAGGTCCCGCTACTGACATGATAGCAGTCATTTAGTGCGCATATGTGTAATTAAACCCATGATATCAAAATCTCACTCCAGCCAGGTACCCAAAGTTGGCAACCCTGAATATTAGACTTTAAGTACTTTGTCAGGCTTAATATTTATCTGTAGATTTACCAAAGCTTTTTGCTTACATGTATTTAAAAGACCTTAACTTAAAGTATTATTTAATGTTTTAATAAAGCCTGATTAGTTTGCCTGATTTGCACATCCTCCTATTAATATCTGTGTACATCCGGCACTAAACTTTTATTGTAGAGATCACTTACAGTAGCCTATCTTGTTGATATTTTCTATTCTATATTTCTATTCTATATTTCTATCATTGACCTTCTACTTTCCCCCTATTTGTATGTACTCTTAATATTTAAATGTTTTCATCAAATGTAACCCATTCAACAAAACATGCAGCAGAGATTAGCAACACAACCTTACCGGCATTGCAATGACTGTAAACGTGTAATAACGTGCTTTAACCACTAGGTGAATAATACAGACGTATAAAGTAAACATGGTATACAATGCTATCAAAAACACATTATGTTAATTTACATATCTAACTACCATTATCAAGCTAAATATGGACTATATGAGGCTAAGGCATTGTACCAGGTGTAGGCTAATTATGTAGGCTAAGTCAAAAACAGGCAACTGATGAGGTGTTTGAAAGGTAATTTATGAGGATCAAACAAATGAGGTACACAGAATACAATGCCATTTTATCTGTTTCATTATTAGTGTAGGACAGATATGTATATACAGTGGCGACTGGTCATTAGGGGCAGGTGGGGCACAGCCCCACCTAGTGTCAGCAGAAAGTATTACAAATAATGATTACAAAAATGCAAAAAAATAAATAAAAAAATATATAAAATATATTTTAAGATCATGTTTAATCATCTGATTCGTCTGTACATTGCTGTTTTAGTCTGTGTTCTTCTAATTAGTGTGTCTACAGTCACAGTGTGTGCCTATTGAGCTGTTTAGAGCCATGTGGGACAAAACCTGATTATGCCCCTTCCTCTCGCTGTGAAGTCAACGGTGACTGTAAAAACTTCACTGCGCATGCTCAGAGTATTTTGTAATGGAATGTGTGTGGCAAAAAAATAATGACCAGAGGGGCACGGAGCTACCATCCCCACCATACGTCATCTCAAATCATTCAGAGCTGATTGGCTGTAAGTACGTGTGCCGCGAAAAGTGTGCTGTGTGAAGAGGAGACGAGAGAGCTGCAGGGGCGCGTCCTAAAACCAGGAAGTATGCACAAAAAAGCAATGAGATTTCTCCAGAGGATTTTAGAAAATAGCTCGAAATAAGATCTGTGGGAAACGTACCTGTTAGATAAATGCACGTTTTGATTAGCCGGATAACATCCACATGTCTACCCTACTTATATAATTTTTTTATCATAAATCTATGGATTAGATTTATGATAGACTTTTGAAACTACAAGAACATAAGGAGGACTTTTACAAAAAAGTAATAGAAATGTTTGTCCAGAAGGATAGGCAAATGGACTTCATCTTCAAGTCAAGGTAAGACCGCCATTTTATTGAAAATGGGATCTTACTAAGAGAGAACAATTCAATATTTAAATGATAAAATGACATTTTTTGGGTATCCTTTTGTTGAACTGTCTGTTTAAAATTAATCGAAGCATCAGACAAAAAAAGCTTTTGAAAATAATATTATATTTTGGTTTAGGTCAAAATATAATATTTGTAAACCTGAAGAGTCAGTGCCAGTGCCTCACCAGCCATGAACCTCACTGCACGTCACTGCAGAAGCTTATATATAGACATCTAAGTTTTTTGTGCCCCACCACTTTTGTACATATAAAAACGCCACTGTGTATATATAACACCTGAAGATGTTTTATTCATGTTAGTCATTACTTTTAATACTAGTTGTACATTACATTTTTACATTTGTATGTTTAAAAAAATATATGTTTCTAGTTATTGTGCTTTTTATCATGTTTTTAATTATTGTTTTATTATTGTACTCCCATTGTGTTATTTAATATTGTAGTTATTGCTTGTACAGCACTTTGGTCAACTGAAGGTTGTTTTAAATGTGATATATACAGGATATAGCTATATTATTGCACATATTTTAAAACATCAGACAAAAATGTGTATCCGCCCCCTCATGGTGCTAATCAGTATGTGTGTTTGCTAAACAGAGATACAAACAGAACATGAGTGAACAGTCAAAACAATTTTTATCAACTTTATTGTTATGGGACC